CAATAATTTATTCCATGAAGTAACTGATGAATTACTTGATAGAATTCGAGTTAAAACAAGGGATTTCGTTTTTTAAGTTTCTAATAATAATCCATCACATATTTAAAAAGACTCCTAATAATCGAATTGAGTAGGCTTCGAAACTATAACTATGCTCCCTGATTGTATTAAATTATATAAGCAGGAAAGAGAAAAAACGCGTGGTTTCCGTAAAGGAGTCTAGCCTTAACCCACTAATTTTTAGCAAGCATCCTAAATCATGGCATTTACACTATGCCCGTAGCTTAGAATTACCTCACCTTGAATGGGACTTCGTGATATTCCGATAAAAACATGATCAGTTGATCCATGCAGATGCGCAGATCGCCATCAGTAAACTCATAAGGAATGTTAAAACCAAGAGCACCGAATTTCTTTCTTTCAATCAGTACACCATGGAAGAATGCCAGAGAGAACAGTAGATGGCGGAAGACTTTATTCTATAAAAAGCAGTGGGAATTAGATAAAGAGCACATTTCCCCAAGAGATAGGGACATATTTCTAAAATTGTTGCCAATCTAGGCATAAATGAGAGGAGAGCTAATAAAATAAAGCAAAATAAATGAAAACACAGTGCGTAGATTGCTTAAAAAAGCGTTGTGTTTGCTAGCAAGCTAAGCATGCAAAAAGAAGAGGGCTTTAATTAGCTAGACTGACAAAAATTATATGCATAACATGTTGATATAATGCTTTATTAAATCAATAAGCTCAACAGGACATTCTAGCCTTGATCATCATACAGTTTGCGTGGTTTTGAGCTTGAAAAACCTTTTACAAAATGCATCTATATCATAAGCAAAAATACTGCTTCAAAGTGTTGGTTCGACCTTGTTTCCGCAACTCCATCGGAGCATCAGAGAGACCTTATGAAACGTACCTAGTCCTATTTCCTCTGCAATAATATTCGTGATGTCCAGCTTCAGACGAGTGACTTGCTACACTCCCAAAACATTTTTTCGGCATCGTCATTGGGGGGCGAAACGTTTGAAAAGGTACCAAATCAATGGCCCGAAGCTGGAAATCACGAATACTATATAGGAAAAAAAGTTGGGTTTCGAAGAATCTCTTGTTTCATAATTGTTGCGCTAACTTCCATTTTGAGTAAAAGTGTTGGGTGAAGAGATTCGAAGGTCGGTTCCACCAGAAGACGACAGAGGATTCCTCTTGAACAGCTTTCATGGTTTCTCTCTCGCATTGAGACCCAAAACAAAAAATAGGCCCATCAACAAAACCAGACGTGTCCGACCTTACGCGATAGGGTCATCAAACCTTGATGGCCCATAAGAGACATTCCTTTTTGCTGTCCTAATTACTCCGAGCCATCACTGTGGGTTTCGTGCATAAGTGAACACAAACAGGCACATACAAATACAGAGACAGACACACTAACATACATAGAAGTTGATATATGACCTTAAATAACTTTATACTCGATCAAAGAGGCCAGATGTAGAGTAAATATACCACTTTTAATGGATTTGCCGGTGATTTTTCTTGACTTGTTAGCTTGAATTTTGTTGTGACGATGAGAACTTGCTTTTATGATGTTTGTTAAATGACGGACAAAAGCTTATCACGTTTTCATCTGAATCGAAGGAGATTGCCTCGGAAACAGCGTCAGCATGAATCTTCTAGTAAAACCAATCGACAGCTGGTCAAGAGGAATCCGCCGTCGTCTTCTGGTGGAACCG